TGATGATCTTCCCACTGCTGTTCACGTGAACAGCAGTGGGAAGATCATCAATAGTAAATCACTCAATGCGCAGAAACAAGCTAGATATTGTGCTTCTTCTTCCGAAAAAGTGCCTATTATATCGCATTGAAATTAGGCATTTTGTCTTCAGAACGAGAGCATAAGCGAGACAAGAAGTCTACCAGCTGTCATGTCGAGACCGGCATTACACAAATAGTGCGACAGATCGCATGATCTGTTGCTGCCCTCGATGAATTCCTGAACAGCTGACGTTGGGCTTAGATAGTCTCCAATACATCTTAACGCGATATGAAGTCAAATACATCCGTCGCTATGAATTAAAGTTGTCGAGTTCCGCTGTAGTAACTTGCTCCACTTTGAGCGGCATCCGGCATGCTTGATTGAGTGCGCAAATTGGAGACCCAAAAGCCAGAGTCTTGCCGCTGTAGAACAGCGGGGTATCTCACATTCTCTTTTTCGCCCATACAGAAATCATCATCCGGTGGTATTGAGGTATCGTCCGCAAGTGAACCTTTATAATTGCCGTGGCGTACCGGTGATGAGAAGCTAAATATAGACGGGTCTTGGTTCTCAATAGCCAGGTCAGATAGAACAGGTGTTCCTGGTAAAATTAATTTTGTTCCAGTGTGGTTACATATGCCATATCGCGAGTGCTGTACCACCTTTCATTCAGGTGCATCAACAGGTATTGTACCAGAATATTATGTATGAGTCCTTGATCTGGACGATGACCGCTGTGAGCTGGTGTTTAATTAAACCATCAACTGGTGTAAGTGCGTGGCTTATCAGACGGCGATAGAGCCACTGAATCGCGGACCCATCTCTGGTGTTACAGTGAAAGACGTATGGTCCAGTGTCGCACAGCCACTGTAACATGGGTTACACGAACCCTAATAAACAGGGGTGTGTGTGTCACACGAGATGTGCATGGTGTGACTGCACCCAAACAAAAATACGGTATGTCGCTAGGTAACCAGTAGTTATGCATGTGTTTAGATTTTACTTTATTTGTTTAATATATTTAGAAAAGTCTAACTTTTAAAATCAGGATTGAAAAATGAATAAAGATCAGTTTGGATTTTTTTCAGAAGAGTCAATTAGCTTTGGGAAGGCAATAATTTCTCTCGGAGTTAGCGGATTGTGATCCGCTAACTCATACTTGATTCTTGTAAAGAACGAAAGATCGGTGACCTAAAGTACCCTTCCTCAAGCGCTTAACTACGGCAGCCCCGCTGCACTTGGAACCACTTGTAGTCAATCGACACCTGAGTCGTTCAGACTGATTCTCGGTAGAATTGAGGAATTTTCCTCTTTGCCCCAGGGCATGCAGGACGGGCTTAACAAGCTGATGTCCTTGCTTGGCCCTGAGAGCGTGCAACACCTTGTAGTACAAGGCCCCGAGGCAATTGGTAGGCGTTTACGAGTCACGAAATCTGCGCTGCTAGAGCACCTGCAGTAGAAGATGTCTGCATCGTTTGCGTCTATGATGTCACCGCCAGTAACAGATGACTTCCCCCGCCCAGAGCCGCTCATGGTGAGCGTTAAGGTCTTCGAGAAAAGGATGAAGAGAATCTCCTGCTCTGGGTGAGAGAGGTCGAGATGGCCATCGCATCTGCCATGCTTCAAACCGAGCAATAGAGCGAGGCGCTAGCCATCTAAAAGCTCGGTGGTCAAGCGCGAGAATGGGTACTGACGTGCGGCCCTTCGGTCGGAGCTGCGTTTCCCTCCTGAGCGAAGCTGAAATTGCAGCTCTTTCGAGTGCTCTCGCCGCCTGATCAGGCGTATCGCGTGCGATCGCGTTTCCTTGCCGCTTGACAGGGCAACAAAGAATTGGTAGACTTTGTCCAAGAGACGCGAACTCTCATTGCCGGGATGGCAGCAGATCCCCTCCCGGAGGCGGTAACAGTGACCGTTTTGTGGAAGGCTTCCGCACTGGCGTGGCCAGAATGGAAGTCTTCCGTGTTCATCCGTCCCCATTTGAAGAGGCGGTAAATGTGGCATTGAATGCTGAATTCATTTCAAGTCGGCACGACTTCGCTGGAATGCACACTCCACCTGCTCGTCTAGCGGGTCTGTGCCCATGGATCTCAGCTATGCTGAAGATGAGGCAGCAAAGCTCTGA